TCTAGATAATGTGGGACCCCCAATATCTCACAAACATATGGGCCTTCACGGCCTGTTGCAGGGATAGCTTTACTTTACTTTACTTTACTTTACTTTACTTTACTTTACTCCTTCGTGTACCTGCCTTACGATGATCAAACCAGGTACCCGTTGTGGTATTTATGAAGGATGCATTTTCCCCGAAGGAGAACGTAGAGAGACAGAATACAAACAGTGTAACTTCGGAACATGGCTACGTGTCAAAGTTAATGATATGCAATGCCACATTTTCTCTCTGTCAAAGTTACAGTTGCGCAATAATGAAATTGTGTTGAGGAATTGGTACTCTGACACTTGTAACTGAATAAAATGTCACGTAATTGAATATTCAAGTGGACGAGGATTAAAACCGAATCGCAGGTCAAGTTAACACCCTCATTCCCCTTTCGGCCTATTTTCCTTCTTTTGAAGAATGAAAGTAGGCTTATGCAAATCCCACGTTCTCCGTGTGTCTGTATACCCCCCCCCCATCAACTTTTGAATGGCTGAACCAAATTTGGAATATATATATCATGGCACCTGAGCCAATCTCAACGGAGTACTTCACGAATCTCTCCACCAGTCTGTGTTAGTATGCGTATCCCGCTATCGCTGCAAACAGCTCTGTAAAAATGTTACCGCGGCAACGAATATGTAGTTATCAATAGAAGAATTGTTAGGCTCGCCCTTTTCTATGCGATCCGTGTTGTATCAAGGAAAATATGCAATTAAATTTTTACAGATATCTTGTCAAGAAATGCCAAACTATAGGCCTTAAGCTTAATGAAAGTATGTTAAAGTGAAAACACCCAAATCCGGTCTTCAACTTATACAAGTTATTAAGGCATCGCAGGTTTTTGGAAAATAAGACAGTTTATTTTATATTTCCTATTCTTTAGAGAGAAATTCTGTTTGAAATATTGGTCCTCAATTCACAATAATCGCAACTCATAATGCGTAAGTTCATACACATAACTAGCCCAGGGTTTCCACAGAGTATCTGGGCACAATGAGGCCTCTTTAACCACTCCTACCAGGTGTTAGGGTGACTCGAACACAAGCTGAGCACTCACTTCCACTTAGCGTCGAGATAAGCATGAATACTCGTAAAGCTTCAATTTCATCCCAGTAGTCAAATGACGCCACAAACTCAATTTACTACACTACATATTATACGTACATATGATGTTACAAGTCGGAAGGTCTCGCGTTCAAGTCCCGATGAGGTCATTGGAGTTTTTCAATTGACCTGATCTTTCCAGCCGCACTATGGCCCTGGGGTCGAGTCAGCCTCTAACAAAAATGAGTACCAGGAATTAATTAAATAATTTTCCTGGGGAGTAAAGCGCTGCCGGCGCGTAAGACTGACAATCTTACCACCATCTTTGAGCCGATTATCTAGATAATGTGGGACCCTCAACGTCTCAAAACCCTATGGGCCTTCATGTCCTGTTACAGGGATAGCTTTACTCATTTTTTTTTAATTTATGCCTCATTTCCCCCCCCCCTTGGCACTACAGCCCCATTAGGCCTAGGCCTACCTCCATGAAATTCTCCGTTCACTTCGGTTTTTCTAGATCTTAGACATACGGTAGGACTACTTGGGCGGGTAATTAGCTAATCGCAAGGCCTCTACCTGTAGACAAACACAGAAAAACGCACACACACATCCATTCCCGGAGTGCGATTCGAACCCACGATCCCGGCTTCCTAGCGAGCGAAGACAGTGCACTCCTCAGGCCGCTCGGCAACCGTGACCGGCACTTTATGCCTCATACAGTATACAAATGTGTGTATACATGTCAAACCTAAGGTCACCTATTGTCTGCTTAATTTCGCTTTTAATTAAATGGATATTTAGTCTCTTGTCTTTTCTTCTTCTTACAAAGAATTCGAGGTTACCCAGCCTTTGCAATTGGAATTCCGTCGTTACACATTTTAATCATAACTCTGTTGAAATACGGCCAAAGGGAGCACTAGTTGCACTGTGGTCAAAATGAAACGACCAGCAAATTTGCAATCCTCATTTAATATGAATATGTTGTTTACATATTTAATCAAGCAATCAGTCACGCAACGGTTTGCTTATTGCTCTCCAATCTGCTTACAGGTGTTCAAACTGGTTGTCATATGCCTTGTAGTGACAGGGGCGTTTTCTCGGGAGGACAAGCCCTCCCACAAAGCAGTGCAGGCCACACACTCGGAGAACCGACGCCCAAACGAGTACCTACAGCCACCACCCCCACCGCCAGCTCGTGCCGTCACAACCACAGCACAGAGACGAGCCCCCACTAGACTACACAGCGTTCGTATCGGGGGGCATCACAGCCCGCCGTTGCCTGCAGCGAACGTCAGATACAGCTCCCCGCCGCCTATGGGGAACGGCCTAAACGTTCACTCTACAAGTGATGATTTTAGCAACACTGCATCGAGTCAACACGGTCCACCGTTAGGAAGCACTCCTGCTTCTTTCTCTGCAGACCGCCAAACATCAGGGCCTACAGGAAAATCAACGAGTGGGATATCTTCTCCGCTTTCGGGGCAACGAATCTCAAGGTGGTTCTTTTCTTCAGGCGACTCCGAAGTACACGGAGAAAGAAAACCTGGCACGAATGAAATACTGCGACCACCTCCTCCCCCGCTCAGATCTCACAGTGTCCCACCAAATTATCAGCCCCTTCAAAGTCCGAAAGATCAGACTTCGAGTGGAACCCATCCCCAACACTCGGCAGTGTCACTCCATCGGGCTTCTGGACATTACAAAAGCAAGCCGAGAGACTGCAACCCATGCAATAAAGTACCTTGGATTCCAATGATAAGAGCTCACGATAATGTCCCATATCAGGGCTCGTCTGATGCAGTTAGCAGCCATGGACATAATCCAAATATATATCAAACCCATGCCTCACTTTCACATCATGATTCACCGTCTGCAGGATCTCTAACTTTGCAGACACATGGAAATCATTACGGACCACCGCCACCCTCTAAATCAACAGACGGCAAATACGCTCTTCCGCAACTTTCCTCTATTCATTCAGGAAGTGTATACGCGCCTCCTGATAAGCCAACGGATGAATATGGGCCACCACTTTCTGTCTCTCAACATATTCAGTCGGAATATAAACCACCAACACCACAATATCCGGGAACTGAATACGGAGCCCCTCATAAGCCGATAGATGAATATGGGCCACCCCCTCTTCCCTCTCAACATATACAATCAACATATAACCCACCATCGCTATCAATACCTCAACAAAGCGGAACTGAATACGGACCCCCTCATAAACCGCAAGACGAATATGGACCACCCCCGCCTCTAATTCAGGATGTACATCACAAATATAAACCACCCCATCTCCACACATCACCTCACCAGGGAACCCAATACGTACCTCCATCACAATCTTCCCTGAGAGAACCGGAATATCGGCCACCGCTCCCACCCCAGCCTCCGGGGACTGAATATGGATCACCTCCGCTATCATCGGCAGACGAGTATGGACCGCCACAGCTTGATACAATAAAGCAATCCAGTTCGCCGCAGTTGGCCCCAAGTTACCTGCCAGCTCCTCCGCTCTATGAATCCGGACGCTTCAAGGATGAAACTCAGTCACCTGTTCCAGATCATCTACTCATTTCTACAAATCATGGAAACAACAACGCAATAATTTATGGGCAAAACAGCCATCAGAACAGTGCGGGCAGTCCTGGTGAGAGAGAGACCGGCGGTGTGGGCGCCCACAGTGAAATCGATGTGGAGCAGTCAATATCTTTGGGAGACTCACACGCAGTAGCATCTCAGCATCCAGTAACGAGCGGATCACGTGATGTAGCTTACACTAGCGCATCTTCAATTCATTTAGTTCCTGGCGATTTTACAACACCAAAAATTAATAACGAAGAATGGAATAAAGCAACCGAGCGTCCTCCAGTCAATGGGTTGTATTTGCCTTCAGGAGAAAATTACCAGCCACCAGAGCAGGAAAAGCAACTGTACAATCCACCTGCTAACAATAAGACTCAAAATTCCGGCGGTCTTGAAGTTATTCCCAGCATTCAAATAGCAGACTATTTGTCGTCAGTTGAGTATCCTCTTCAGATTGTACAATCTCCTTACATTGACGTGACAGAGCCTCCTGGTCATAGCGTTAATCAAAACAAAAAACAACAAATTTATGACCAAAAGGCTCCAACACATACATCTTCTTCTTATGATAAGGGTGAGATTATTATTGGAAAGCCAGCTTTGGCGGCTTCAAATTTGAATGACACAAACATAAAGAACAGTTACAGCAATGTTGGGTTTGCCATCGAAAGCAACACCTCTGAGATTCATGATCAAAGGCAACAGCAATCCGCAATACATGAAACAAATTCTGGTGGATTTGCTGATGGAGGACCCGTCACTTTGGACCACTTACCCGGATCTGGAATACTACATTCCTCTTCAGGTAACACTTACTTTGCAAATGAGAATCAGATAAAGCATAATACTGATGGCATTAATGTATTAGGTGCACATGGATCAAACCAAGGACTTTCTGTGAGTAAAGAACACGATTCAACGGTCTTGGATATCCAGCCTTCTATTCAAACATCGGCGGAGAGTAATTCTCTCATACATCAGATAAACAACGCATTTCAGTCTCACAGTGGTCCAACAACAGTACCACCAATACAGAATAATTATAACTCTGATTATGTACTCTTTCAGAACTTCCCTCGACCTCCGTTGAGTTACCTCCCCACAGATGTTCTCAAACAGAAGTTGCCTCCTCCAACACCATTACAGAGCACATTCCAGCAAAATCCATATCTTCCGCCCGTTCAATCGCAGTCTCACACATTCTTACAGAGCACTCCGAAACCTCTAACAACAATACCCTTTGAACACCCCTTAAAACTCGAGGCACCTGCTTCGTTTTTAAATCCACCTCCTAAAAACAAAGGGGAATATAGTACCGTAACCAACTTACCCTTGCAAGAATACTCGTTTTGGACACCAACGCCACGACCCATATCCTCTTCACTGGTTCCAGTAAACGACGGCAATACTTGGGGATCTGCAACAACAAACACACCATTAAAATTATCGAATGAAAACATTATCGCAGCATTTGCGGAAGCAGCAGGACTCCTTCCACCTCCACCATCACTCTCTGAGACATCGAGCCAATCCGAAAAGAAAATAAAACAAATACAAATCATAGTCCCATACACCTCAAGCAAAGAACTCATGCAGTTCAAGATTCAGGATACAAATAAGCCTTTATTTGACTCTACAGGCTGGCTGCCTATAACAGACAAAGAAGATGGTACGAAACCGCAAGGAAGGAAAGCCCCATCTGTACATTTGAACTGTAGTAATGATGAACAATCGTGGCAAACACAATGCAAACATTCCAATTCATTGTTACAGCAGGAGCAAAGTGACTATCACCAGCACCAAGAGTCCAGAACCGCAACAGCAACAGCCCCTGCTGTACAGGGTGTTAAAGAAACAACAAAAGCATATCCACCGAAAAGCTACAGCGAAATGCAACAGATTCTTGCTATTAATATCCGTGACCTACTTCGAGGCGAGGAAGATACAAAAACAATCCCCGATTCGATTACATTACAACGTTTACAGAAAAATATTGACGAGTGGACAGCGCTGGAGTATTCAAAAAAGAAAGACTTCGCTATATTTGGCACGACCGAAAGCACTGCAGGGGGAAAGAAAAGCACGACCGCACATGCGTCGTCTGGAGCTCTGCTTCAGCACTTACTTGTGCCGTCGAAGAAAATACCAGAAGAATATTTAACGACAACTCCCTCACAATTCGATGACGTCGCATCAACTGAGAACTCTGTTGCGACAGCTATACCTAACTTCAAGAGAAGCACGAGCACAACAACATCAACAACCAGCACAACAACACCGCATTCACCAATCTATGATCATGTTACCTCTGGCAGCAACAAGCACACCGTCTCACTTGATAACAATAAAAGCAGCGAAAGAGGATCCACGCCGAGGATCAACCACGACAACCCACTGAATCGCCAGCAAAATGGTGAGAATCACAGATGGAATATTATTGAATCGAACTACATAATACCAGAGGCCGTAGCTTTAACCACAAAGAAAATAACACCCACAGCACCGCCTCCTACAACAACTCCTGCGAGCGAGGAAATAACAGATATCTACACAAACACAGGGCACACGACATGGGATCAGTTACCGCTGTCCATATCACCAATCACAAATGAGAAAGTGTACGTTGTAACTCCAATGGCTACTTGGACACCAGAGTTCACAACGGCCACACCGTACAGAACCCCACCGTATCCCACTGACACTCATACTACCTCCATAAACGACGTGTTTCCATTCAGGAATGGACCTCCCTCGGCACATAAGCTTGTCGCATCGGCGCCCTTTTTATTTCAGTCCCCACGCTTCATCGTCAGACCAACCCCTGGAACAACCGTACAACGATCATACACAGTCACGTCAACAGACGGCGAAGAGGACAACTGGAATGACGTCATGGAAACTACTTTGGAACCAGTGAAACTGAATGAAATCAATGGAAATGCAGGTAAAATTGACATGGAACATTAAGCTCTTTCTCGTTCATATCAAATGACAAAATTCTGTCATTAGGGAACTGTAATATTGGGCGTAGATTGGTAACTCTTGCAATATCCTGTGATGTATAAGATCCTGCAGTGTTAAGAAAATTCATGTAAATATATTTGACGGCCAAATGTTTGCCACTCCGTCCTTATTCTGTCTTTATATTGATAAGTCATTATTGTTAGCAATTACAGACAGGACAGCCAAGAGGCAACTATGCTTCTGTCGTCATTGTGGCCTACACCTTCGTCAATAAAAGGTACAGGTAAAATTATTCCTGCAACAGGCCTCGGAGGCTCATAGGATTGTGAAACGTTGAGGATCCCACTTTATCTAGACAATCGGATCACAGATGGCGGTAAGGTTGTCAGCCTTACACGCAGTCCATCAGCCCCCCCCCCGGAAGATTACTGATACTCATTTCTGTCGACACCAGGGCTATAGTGGGGCTGGAAGGATTAGGTCACTTGAGAAAAAATCCAATGTCTTCATCGGATCTTGAACCCGCGACCTTCCGGCTTATGGCATAGTGCCTCAACTAACTACGCTACCGCGTACCACACACCTTCGTCAAAACAAATGTTTATTGTTGATACCTTGTTTGTTAGGTGGAATCATGATTTTAATGACATTAAGTACCTGCTCTACCATCTGCACATTATGTACAGAAAGTTGATGACCATCATCCCACCTCATCGGGCCCCTTAAAATTTTCCAGTCTCTTGGAGTCGGAGGTAAACAGAGGGAAATACTAAGACATGCCCCTCTCCAATTCGGGTACTCTCCACCCCAGAGTCCAATACAATTTGTAGCACTTCTGTTGCCCTCTCCTTGCGCAAGATCTGTGTACGATAATTCAATAAATGAATTTCATTTTCCATTCTAGATTGGTATGTAACCTGTAGCACTTCTGTTGCCCTCTCCTTGTGCAAGATCCGTGTCCACTAATTCAATAAATGAATGTTCATTTTGAACATTGGTATGTAACCTGCTTTCCCCACATTACATTGCTCCAGACTGTCTCGAAATTTCATTCCATTCGAGTATTAGCGTTTATTTGTGTACAGTGTCACGTATTCAAAATAAGGCTGCCTGTTACTCTAAACGCGTACAAATTTCAGCATCAAATGGACTTCTACGATCACCACGTGACAGAAACAAAATGATCTCTGATATTAGGAATGTAATTGTAGGAACTGGATAATTCTAATTGTTCTACCTTCCTAAGGAACACTCCCAGGCGTATTTCCTCTGTCTCTAGTCTGGGCTTTCTCCAAGGTATGGCCCTTACTACAGCATAACACGAATTTCCTATGCCAATTTCCTTGATTGAGACGGTAGTTCATGGTCGAAGAAAACTGATTTGGACTTTAAACCGTAACAGCAAAATTAACAAATATCCGAACTTTCCTTATGAGAAAAAACACACACATACTCATGCACGCACACAAATTTTGTGACGGTGAATGCATGGTTATATTGACGATTGTAGTGGGCTTCATTTACAGCTCTTGAATGCGAGCGGGAATTTTCAAGTTGGTGATATATGCCAGTTTATAAACCAGGCTAACAAGTGCCAGTATTTAATGAAATTTTATTTATATGTAATGTATATACGCATTGCTAGGCAACGGCTTGGTAAACGCATTCCCGCAAAACACGTGCACGCAATAATATGATTCTATTTCTAGGCAACGGCGCGGTAAATATGCCTTGGCAACAATAGAGGAGGCGGTATTTATATGTGGTCCGCGCCATTCATTCTGACACGTGACACATGTTTTCTCTAGGTCCGTGACGCGTCTATAATAGGGTCAGTTTGAAGGAACAAGACAGATTAGAGACCCGGAATTGGGATTTTAGAATTTAGAGGAGTACACAACAGTAGTCGGAGAGAATTTAGTCTAGTCTTCGGAATGCGTAGCTGCAGGAAGTGACAAGAAGACTTCATTGTGATTTGAAGTGATATTTCCTGTGATAAAGCCATTGCCAAGAAAAGGGTAACGTGTCCTAGTGATTTGTGAAATGGGTAGATTAGCGGTAGCCCAATAACTGATTGTGAACAAGAGAGATTGTACAACAAGGTGTTAGATAAATCCAACTATCAATTCCAAAACGCGTTATTATTCGCCACGAATTACCGGACACGTGAAAATATGTATAATTTCTGCAGCTACCTTTCAATACATGTACAAATACTCCAACATGTTTAGTGTGTTATGAATTAATTAAATATTCTCGGGCTATCAGGCGTCAGACTCTTCTGCTTGAAACAGAGACCTTTCAGTTATTTTTAACCAGTTCAATGGCTGGTAGCCCGAGATTTTATTAACTTCAAACGCTGTGAAAACTTCAGATGCCAAGCCAGCAACTTTTAAGGCGAGAATGTACTTCAAGACATCCGACAACAAGAAAATCACCGGAGAAAGAAATCACGACTGCTTAGCTCACTAGCTTTCATGCTTCGATGTCTGGATCACCATGTAATACAGAACCACTGTACATACAACTGAAATATCAAGATATCAGTTCCTGATGATTGGGCCAGACATGGTCCTCGAAACGTCGGCAAATTTTCATCAACTCTCACGGCTGATAGCACCTCAAAATTTTATTAACTGTATCCTCCGTGAAGGTTTCAGGTCTTACATACATTATGAATATGTCAAAGCAAATTCACTGCACTGAAATTCTCTTGTTGAATTACTTAATTGCAGATGTCGACCAGAATTCCACCCTTACAGAGACGACGTCGACGCCGAGGAGTACCAAAGACAACCTGTTGCTTGGACTCTCAGTTCTGTCAACCTACATGCCGCCTGAAGGGACTCGCGTGCAGACAGATGCTGGCCACTCCAAAGTAAGGAACTCGCCACAGGGTCTCAGCACTACTTTCCCTCCTTCGTTTTCTTTCTCGGTTTCTTCTTTCCCATCCCTTCCCTTACTCGTCTCTTTATCCTTTCATATATTCGTAATTATTATTATCATTTTGTCACAGTTCAGATATTTGGGAACAACGATAATAGATCAAACCTTGATTCAGGAGGAAATTAAGAGGAGATTGAACTCGGCTAATGCTTGCTACCATTCAGTCCAAAACTTCTGTCTTCTCCTCTGCTGTCCAAAAACATAAAAATTAGAATATATAAACTATAATTTTGCCTGTGGTTCTGTATGGGTGTGAAACTTGGTCCCTGACATTAAGGGAGGAACATAGACTGAGGGTGTTTGAGAACAGGGTGTCGAGGAGAATATTTGGACCGAAGAGAGATGAAGTGACACGACGTCGGAGAAAACTGCATAATGAGCAGCTTCATAACTTGTAGCCTTCTCCAAGTATAATTAGAATGATCAAGTCAAGGAGGATGAGGTGGGAAGGTCATGTAGCACGAATGGGGGAGACGAGGAATGCATATAGGATATTGGTGGGAAAGC